ATCCTCAAACTTATCCCAAGTGGTTCTCTCATCACTGAAAAATTGTCAGTAAAACAGCAAAATTGTTGCTGGAAAACAGCTCCAGACACTGCTGTGGGGTGTAAGAGAATCTGGTACTACTTCCATTCTGCGTCAACAAGTAAATCCATTTTATTTTGCAATTAAATTAAACAACATCATTTAAGGGAGGTCACAAATATGCCTGTGCTATTCAATCCCCTCAAAGGCAAAACTTTTCCTGTGAGTCACCATTTCTTTGTGTCTTGCAGCTACTGAACCAATCCCTTCCCTTCTTCTAGTGCTGTTTTTCCACTGAAGTTAAACTTGTTATGACTTCCTCTAGATGAGCCTTTTGTGGTTTATCTTTTCTCTCAGGTTTCTCCCTGATTTTTTTTGTGCCTCTAGCTGGACATAACTCCTTGCTCCAACCCCTGGTTCCCTTGTGCCTCAGCAGCACAGGCAGCTCCCCCAGGCCAGGCAGCTGTGGCCAAGGTCAGCCCTCTGCACCAAGGAGTGCTTACGTGTACTTGAGCTACTCACGTGCTAATATAGCCAGAAAGAAGTTGTAAAATATTAGTAGGTATCACTGAGGCTTGAGAGATCTACCAGATGCAAGATTCAACAACACAGAATCAGTAGTGAGAGACAAGTGAAGTCTAGAAGCAGGATTAAAGAGAATTATCTGTATTATATGGCAGCTGCCACAAGTCATTCCTGTACTTCTGCAAGACTGCTGGGAAAATATCAGAGTTTGTGTAGGTAGAAACACCACAGATCATCACCTAAATGAAGGGCAAATTAAGTATTTCAGCTTTAACACACCTTTTTTATGAAAAACTCAGAACACTAATCACAGCCTGATTACTCCTCCTTGTTGCAATTAAAACCTTAAACACATAAATCCTTTAGCAACTCAGTTTTTCCCCTCGCTTTGGTTGGAAATTTTCCTCCCCATTTATTGATACATCTTTTTCCAGCCTGACTTTGTGATTTCCTCCCACTGAAGTCACACTATGAGTGCACAGAAGGAAGATCTGGAAAAAGATCACTAAACTCATCAGGCATTCAGGACTTATCATTTAAGATGAGAATGCAAATCACAAGATTTTAATAGACTGTTTATATCCTAAAAATCTGCTTACTTTTAAAGCTAAAGGGCAAATAAATACAAATATAAATATAAATGCAAATTTCTCAGGTCTAATTCCACATCCACGATAAGCTAGTAACCCAAAATTGTTCTTCTAAAGCTAGGAATTTCTAAAATGGAAAGAGCTCTTGAAACAAGCCCTAGATTCTTGACTTAATCACCAGTCCAGCATGAACACCTGGAAGCCAGAGACGACCTCCAGGTGTCCTGAGTCCTCTGCAATCCCTTCCTCAAGAGGCCCTCCCTCCCCCTCCAAATGCAGCCTCACAGGCCACAATCAACACCACACACCCTGCAGGAACGGCTTCTGGACCAAAGGCCTAGAAAAAACAATAAGAAAAATAAAAAAACATGAGCAAAACCCAACAAGCTACACAATAGCATTCTGCTTTCAAAGGTAGGGTAATTAGGAAGAGGAACAGAGACTTAATCCTGCAGCTGGGGTTTATTTTCCTGTCTGTTCTTTATCTGTTTTCATATTTTAATACAATAACACCTACTTAATTTCTGCACAGACTCATGCTGCAGAAGTTCTCCCAGCACCATGCTCCTGGACAAGTCAGGCTTGTTACCTCCTGGGTGAACACATTTTCTTCAGCCTGCTTTAAAAACCCTGCTGCAGCTTCTTCAGTGGTGCACAGAATCCCAGAATCACACGTTAGTTTGGGGTGAAAGGAACCTTAATCACCATCCAATTCCACCCCATGTCATGGAAGGGAACCTTCCACTAGGCCAGCTTGCTCCAAATCCTGTCCAACCCGGCCTTAAACATTTCCAGGGATAGGGAATTCTCCCCTACTCTGAATATCTTTGTCAAGACTGTAACAATATTCCCCTAAGGGTTCAAAACACCCATGGGAACACTTGCCAGTCTCATTATTTCACTCTGAGCTTTATTTTACAGGCTCTGCACAATAAAGGCCTGAGGATTTCCTTCTGTAGAATTCTTGAATACAAAACCAAATTGAATCATTGTTGAGTGACTTTTTTTTCAAAGAGAAACATTTCCACATAAATATGATACTGTACACAAACCCACCACTGGAATTGACAAAACCCTCCCAGTTATGGTAAGAGAACCATTCATTAATTCATTCATAAGTGAGGGTTCAGATTGGATATTGGGAAGCAGCATCAGCCACCATCCCTGGAAGGGTTTGAGATGTTTGGATGTGGGAATGGTCAGTGCTGAACACAGCAGAGCTGGGGAAGGGTTGGATTTGATGATCTGGAAGTCTTTTCCATCCTAAACGATCCTGTGATTCCAACCACACACCTGCATTCAGTTTGAATGCTCTGGACTGGTCCCAGTGCCACTGCTGACTATTCTGACCATCTGATTGGAGGAATTACCCAAATTTTCACAGCAGCACAACCCTAAGTGTATTTGTATCAGCTTAACAAGCTTCTGTGTACAAAAAGAATCACATGCTTTGGAACAGGCAGTATCACCTGAAATACTGTAGCCAGTAAAACTCCCCAATTTTCATTAAAAAGGTGCAAAGTGCACAGTTTGCCTTGTCTGGGATGGCTCCCACTCAGATAACAGCTATGCAAAGCCCAAGGTTACAAAGCTCTCTTCTAACAGACCATACTGCCTTCAGAGGTAGCCTGATGTTAAATGGAAAAAGAACAGCTACTTGACTAAGAATAACCTCCCCTAACCTACCAAAATCAAGTTATTATTGTTGCCATTAAGCTGTGCAGCAACCAACAACATTATGCTCAAATTCCAGTTCAAGGGGAAGGAAACCTCCTTCCTCATCCCAGTCTAGGTAAGTAAGACTAATGAAAAAATAGGGAATGACCTTCAAAATCATAAGAAGAAATGTCATTTTTTTTTCACCCTATCAGGCAAAACTGGGGAAGAGAGGAAAAATAAGCCAACAGAAAAAAAATCAGCTTAACTTGCAGCAAAGGAGACAGGAGTGTGTATCACACTGCCAGCTGTGGACACAGCAGAATGAGCTACATAGAAAAACCCTGGAGCAATCTTTAAGTGTTTCTTACAGAAGCTACTTGGGAAGTTGTCCTTTGAGAATGATCTGGATTAGCTGAGCAGCAGTGGCAAAGCTCAGGCTGGCAGGTGACACTGCCTCTGCCACCCTGCAGTCACATCCCACCAGTTACTGTTTCAGATCTAGTGAGAGCTCTTCCTGTGCCTGTCATTCTGATCCCTGTAAAATTATACTGTGGACCTTTCTGAAAAAGGTTGTGTGTTTTAGCTGTGGATGGCTCTGCCTATGACTTGGGCCATGCTTTATGAAAATCCACGTACAAATAGGAATACTGGTTTTTATAACAGCTTGAATCTAAACAGGCAAAGGGTTAGAAAAACTGGTAGCTCCTACTCAAACACAGAGCTTTAGCAGATAGACAGATACACATCAGGTTATTGCTTCCTTTCCTGCTTCACCTCGGATTTATGTTCCTTTACCACACAGAGGGATGCCCAACCCACATATGAAACAATACATAAAACACCACTTCCAATTCAGGTCTGGGGGAAAAAACCCAACACAAATCTACTGTCTGTTGTCTTCTAACTGAAGACAGTTGTCAGAATAGAACCAGTAGGGAAAATGGAGAATAAATCACCAGGCAGATGCTTCACCTGCCTTACTGAACAGAAGGGATGTGACAAAGCAATGCAGCACATATGAGTGTGCAGATTTTTTTCTCTGCCATTACACAACAGGATAAGACAAGAAATTATTCTTCAAACACCTTGGGACTGAATGTCAATAATCTTAACTTCACAAGCACAGAACAGAGAATGTTTCGAATTCTAAATTTAGTTAATTCAAAGCTCTTGCTTCATCTTACAAGTTAACTGATCTCTATATTACCAATATTCTCAGCACAATCTCCTCTCCTGCTTCTTGTCTCTCACTGGAAGAAATTATGAAACCTCCCCTACTGTTTGGGGAAAGCCATCACGGGAAACGCTATTTATCATGTGCCATTTCACCTATAGCTCAAGAATCAGCAGTGCCCTATGTTTAACTCTCTTCAGGGCTGCTGGATCATCCCGGTCTATAAATATCCCGAAATAAAACCACACTGCAGGCACAGAGAGCAGGTCAGCAGAGGCTGAATTTCCGCGGCTATCATGCCCAGAGGCGGCTGCCGCTACCTGCAGTGTCACAGGTGAGGCCACAGCCCTCCCCCAGCGCGGCCCTTGGCGCATCCTCAGCCTTGGGGAGCGCCGGGGATGGAGCCCGCTGCCCTTGGGGAGGGGGGACACAGGGCAGGTTGAAGGCGGGGGAAGCGATCGCTCCCTCCGCCGCATCCCCTGAGCGCGGCAGGGCCCAGCCACAGCCGGTGCGCCGCAGGGGAAGGGAGCGGGACATGACTCATGGCTTTTGTCCGCCCGCGGGCGGCGCTGCCGGCGGAGCGGGGCCCCGGGGTGGCGGAGCGGGACCCCGGCTCGGAGCGGGGCGCGCGGCCGGCACGTGGCCCGCGCTGCGCCAATGGCAGCGGCCGCGACCATAGAGCGGGGCCGGGCGCTGCTGCACATCCCGCCCGCCGCCCTTCTCGCCGCTGCCGCCATCTTGCTGCAAGCAAAGGAAGGAGCCCGGTCACAGCGCCGGGCCCGCGCCTTCCTCCCGCTCACCGGAGGCGCTACCGTCCCCGCCCTCCCGCGCCGGGCCCGCCGTTACCTCTAGTCGGCCCGTAGCGAAGCCTAGGCTGGGTACGAGGCCGACGGCCCGGCCGCCATCTTGGTGCAGCAGAGGGGATGTGCGTGACCTACAACATGCGGGCGGCCCCGCCCCGTCCCAGCGGGTTGCTATGGGGACGGGGCGCGCGCATGCGCGCGGGGCCCTGCACCGCCCGGGGGGCGTGGCCTTGGGCGGGACGGCCCCGCCCCCTCGGCCGGCCGTGCGCGCGCGGGAGCGGAGCTCGGGGCCGGCAGCTGCGGGAGGCGCTGAGGTGAGGGAGGGACCCTGCCCCGCCCCGGGAGCGCGGGGTCCCACCGGCCGTGAGGGGACACGGCGGGCAGCAGCGCTGGGATGGCTCTGTCCTTTCCAGCTGGACCCCCGAACGTGAGGGGTTTGGTTGAGATGGGGTGATGGTGAGGAAGGAGCGGGACGATGCGCGCTGCGGGCGGTGCCGGGGAGGTGTGAGGCGCCCTGGCCGCCCTCCCAGCGCGGGACTTGGTGCTCGTGTGGCCGCCATGGGACCCCCGGGCGGGGCCCCTCCCACGGCGGGCAAGGCAGTCCCTTCTGAACGTGCTCTCGTAGAAAACTGCACCGCGCTGTAGAGACCGGAGGGTGAGGAACATGTCCGACCAGCTCCCGAGAAAGTCTGGGCTGCTTCCATGCACCCGAACCCCGATCTCAGCCCGCAGCCCCCCGTGCGCTGCCCTGGGCTCGGGTCTGCGGGCCTTGGCCCTCGGGTTCGGGTGTGCCTGTGTGGGAGCGCTCAGACCTGGCGGGAACGCTGTGGGAAACATCATTCCTGAAAAGTTTCTGTGCTTGTTCTCTGTGTTAAAACATAATGTAGCTGCAGCCGTCTGCATAACTCTGCTCGCCGCTTCGTTTCCTCAGTAGCTGTGAGAAACTTTCCTCTGCTCTTAGCCCTCCTCTGAGAAATAGTTGGGTGACAGACAAGTCTCACAAATTAAAAGAATGTTCCTCTGTGTTCCAGCAGGATCTGGTTTTGTTTGGCATTGAAAACCTCTCATGGAGAATGCTTAAGCAGGAATCAATGACATCACTGGGCAGGAAACACTCTTGGAAGGAAGAGTTGCTATCAGAGCAATCTCACATGATATAACAGGCTCAAGTTCTTCACTAGCTGAATACATCACAAGTCATAGATTGTTCTGTGGACTGAAATGCAGATGTTGCAGATACTAGATTTTATTTTTATCTTACAATTTCACTTGAGAGCCATGTTATCCAGTTTTTATTTTGTGCCAGTAATCAGGGTGCCAGATTTTGCTCAGCAAATTTTGCTTCATGAGAAAGGACACCAAACTGCTTCAAAGTCCAACATCTTCAGTCTGTAACTCCCATCAAACCCAAATGAGGTTAAAATGGTGTAAACATACACCTGTATGGTAGCTTTGAGAAGAAAATCCTGGAAATCATCCCTACACTGAAACAACTTTACCTTGTGCCTGACACAAAAAGTTGGGGTTCTGCTATTTGTTTTGATTCCAAGATGTCTCTTTGCTGGGAGGAACAGATTCAAGGCTGCTGCAAACTGAAGCAGTTTGGTGTAATTTCACACAAATTGAGCTTGCTGACAAAATCCGCCTGGAAGATGGAAAGAATTATTAGTGATAATTTCAAATCCATGGAAATAAAGTGAGAGTGAGCTAGGTAAGAGGTGGCTGAGGGCTTTGGAGTGGGAACTGATACCTTGTGGTAAGAGGGTGAGCCAGGGGAAGGTCTAGAAAGGGGAATTGAGCTTTTATCACTTGCAGATCCAGCATATGCAGGCATTTTTATGTTGCCACAGTAAATCACATGTTCTCCTGAAATCATGCAAGCTAGGGGTTGGTGAGGTTTTGTTAAGAGATTTTTTTGCACAGAAGTGTTAGATAAGAAATCTTTAAACATTTTTTGTGCCTGTTTTTTATTTCACATGCAGCTACATATGAAAATTTTATATTGGTAAACAGGAGGTAGAATGACTGAGTTTGCAAGCATCTAGATAAAAGAGGAAGAGAAAAAGTTTCATTTTGAAGCTGTGAGCTCTTTACAAAACACTCAAGCATGGATGGAAATGTTGAGGGCAAAGAGGCTTGAAAGGAAAAATAATACATGAGTTAGGGTGTTGTGTTTTTTTGGCTTTGAAGAAACTTTTCTCTAAAGAGCAAGGTGTTTTTTAGCAAGGTGTTTGGTTTGGTGAGTTTTCAGAAAGGATGTGGACTTTGAGGGCTTCAGAATGGTTTGTCACACGTGCTGCCTTCAGCACCCCACATTCATGTTGCTTGAATTTCTTGTCTGACTGCATTTATAGGAGTAATTGTAGCTGAAAATTCTGCCCCTTGTTAGAACAGCAGAGTCAAATACTTGTGCCTGTGAAGAATCTGACACTTTCAGAGTCTGGACAGCCAGTCAGGGATGCTCCTTTTTTAATTTATTGTGCAACAGCAAATATTACACTGGTTTGTAGGTGAGTTTTTTCCTCATACAATTTTTAATAAGCTGATAAACATTATTATTTTTTTCAGATTTTTTCCTGTCCTTGCCTAAAAATGTCCAAGGTAAGAACAACATTTCTGTCTTCCAATGCAACAATGGGAAATAAATTTTTTGTTTTTAAATATTAATCCTCAATGATTATTATTGTGCAACTTGCATCTGCTTGATATGAAGAGCATTGAAAATTTACTGCCTATAGGAGCCACAATATTGAAAGATGAGTGATGTAAGACATAGATTAAAGTAGTTTCATGCAAGTATAAATCTCTGCAGTTAATTAATACTCTTGGAAGGATTTCATTTTGGATAAAAGCTCCCTGCTGCATCTTCACTGAAACTTCTTTTCCAATCATTTAAGCAAATGGTGGTTTAGGTTTAATTTCTTTCTTTACTAATAGAATCAACTGCTTCTCCAATAAAACCCTTCATTTCAAGTATTATAGCCTAAAATATTATTGTCATGCTGGGATTCATCTCATTCTTGGCTCCTAGCATTTGCTATGATGGGTAAAACACTTGTGTTGGTTTATTGGAGAGAAATGAGTGATAAAGGATGTTTGAGTGATGTGTTTGAAGAGGGAAGTAAGAGATGTAAAGATTTCTCTGCCATATCTGTAGCAGTGAGCATTCTCTTGTGTAAATTCCCCTTCCCCACCCCTGATGAGAGCTCTCTGAAGAGCACCTCCAGCCAATGGCTTTCACTTCACAGCTTGCTCAGGGTTTGGCTTTGGATGTGCTAAAAAAGGATCAGGAATGGTCATAGAAAACTATGTTATTTTAGCTGTGCACGAAGCCTATTCAAAAAGTGATGAGTGCCCACAATTCATACTTTGTCATGCTTTGGTAAATAATTATTTGGGATTTTGTTTCTGTTTCACTTAAAGTGAGCTTGGCTGGATTTCTGAACAAGTGAAGTTTGGTTTTTTAAGCTCTAGGTCAATGTAGTTGTTCTGCCCTTCTCTGTGAAACCATTGGGTAGCAGGAACCTCTGAGTAGTTTCCTCTCTGCCCCATAGCTTCAAACCTTTTGAGTTAAGTGAGGAAAGCAGTTGTACAAACTTCTAAATCTTGACTGGTTGCTTATTATTGTCTTATTTTATTTTTTTTGAAATTTCATTTGTAGCAACAGCCTGCTCAATTCACCAACCCAGAAACTCCTGGCTATGTTGGATTTGCAAACCTTCCCAACCAGGTTCACCGAAAGTCTGTGAAAAAGGGCTTTGAATTTACTCTGATGGTGGTTGGTAAGGAAACATTTTGTAGTTTTTCTCACAATTAGTGCTTGCTCACAGGGAATTTGAAGTTAAAACAAATGTTACTTGCACTATTCTAAGGCTTCAGCTTGCATCAAAACTTTCCTTTACTGTTGCATTTAGCTTTCTTTTATATTTTGTTGATTCTTGCAGCAGTTGTTTACCACATTAAAACCATTTTTGAATACATTAATAAGTTTGTTTGTGGGTGAAGAAAGTTTGTTGTGCACTCCAGCAATCATTCATTCCTTCCTTCCTTCTGCCCTGTCCTACAGGATTCCAGCACTCCATTTCAAATATAATTTAAAACTGGTTTTGCATTTGAATATTGTCTTAGTTCATTTGTGTGTTTGGATTAAGAGACTTGTATTAAGCAGTCCATTCCATTTAAAATGTTGTTTATTCTTCTTTAGTTCAAAACAATCTGACCTCTATCTTTTCAACCTTCCAAATACTCTTGTAAAAGAGTGAGAAAGACTGAGAATTGGATCAGTTGGTTTTGATGTCAGCTGTTACTTTTTAATTTAATCATGATTTTATGTTAGCAGCTGTAACCTAAAGTGTTATTCTATTTGATAATTCATTGGGAGTCTTGAGAAAAAATCTGGGAGTGTTGACAAAAAATCTGATGTCTGCAGAAATACCTTGATCATTTGAGAAATGGGTTGAAAATTATTCTTGAAAATTCAATAGACTCCCAGATCAGGCTTGGGTGTTTTCTCTGTCTCTCTGTGAGCCATAACTTGTGAGTTTTGCTGTTTGAACTCTTTAATTCTTGCTTTTAAATAGGCTTTTGCAAAAAGCACCCTAATAGAATTAGGCTCTTCATTACCTGGCCCCACAAGAAATAAATCCCATTTATGTGCTAGATTTGCCTAAGAGAGATCACAGTGGGAGTGAGCAGGAGAGGTGAGAGAGTGATGATGATAGGAGGTGTTTGACTTTTAATGGTTTTGGATTTCAGTAGTTACAGGGAGAGCCTGTCCTCAAACCTTTCATTAGTTTTGCCAAATGACAGCCCTAGCCCTGCTTTTGTCCTACTTTCTTCAGTGGTGTACAGAGTTTTTCCTTATCTTTGTGTTCCTAGAATTTTATTGTAGTTTTTTACTGTATTTGATGTGGATGATTGCCATAAAGGAATCTCATAAAATCCAAGTGTAAAACCAAACCATAAGTAGCTGCTTCAATTTATTCTGTCTACTCTGACTCTTCAGAATTTCCTGCTCAGTGATCCTAAAAGTGTGAACAGTTTTGAGCAAGAAAAGATCTGCTTTCTCTAAACTTCCAGATCTGTTTGAATTCTGATTGCAAATCCTGCCACGTAAAACAGTTCTGGAAGAGAGCAATGTAAAATTATATAGACCAACAGTTGTTTCTTGTCTCTTGTAAAATAGAAATAGAGGGGAAATGATATGGTGTAAGAGTGACAGAAAGAGAATTAATCCACCCATGTTGGAGTGAAGTGGAACTTTACTGTTGTTGCCTGCCAGTATTTTAAGGGATAAATGGAAACTAAAGGAAGAGGACTTGGAAAAAAATAATTTCATTGAAAATTTGGAGTGGTATTTTAAGCCACACTAGCAGAGGGAGGCAGCTGATGTAAGATAAAATAAACTGTGCTTTAAATTGTTGGTTATTTCAACACTTTGGAATGTGAATGCTTTCTCTTCAAATATGCATGGAGTTAAAGTATGTTCTCTTGTGGGCTGTGTCAGTGCCTGTTCTGAACTCTCATTTTTCATTAAGTTGCCATCCTCCTTCATTTCTGAGCAGGATAATACTTTAAAGCTGCCTGTGCTGACAGAATCCTAATCAATGATTTTGCTTTTTTTCCACAGCTTTTGGTTATGTTTTTTTCCCCTGCTATTGTTTGCTGTGGTATCTGAAAATATGAGCTGGAGTTTATAAGAATTTGGCTGCTTGGCTGTGTTGCTCCCAAAGAAATCCCAGTCACTTGTGTTTATTTTTATGTTCATTCTCATTGTTAAGCTATGACTTCATCTAAATAGTTATTTCACTTAAAAGTCACTAAACTACTGTAGCCAACATAATCATTGACAGTGACTATGAAAACTGATTTTTGTGTAATATTTACCCTTACTGAGACAGTGGAATGTGGCACTGGATGAAATCATACTTTTGCTGAAATAATTCCATGTGACTGTTGAGTTTCTCTGGGTGCCTGTCACCCTCACTGGCTGCACTGGCACAATCTGAAACTGGCAGCTCCTACTCAAATCTTCATTTCAAAACAATTTCTGTCCTTTTTTCCTGTTGTTCAGATGTTTTTGTCTGATTCATATTGCAGTGTTACTCAGACATTCTGTGGCCCATCATTTTTAAATTTTTTTTTTATTTAATCCTATCAACACCTGAAATAAAACTAAAATTCTAGAAAAATATCTCTTCAGTAAACTCAAGTACTGAGCATTTCAAGTTGCTACTCTTTTTTATGCTATAAACATTTGTTTTGATTAAAATCATGATCTCTAATGAGTCTATATTTTCCTCGTGGCCATCAGTATCTCTAGAACAAAAATATACTTACAGTACAATTTGGTAATCCTTTAGTTCATATAAAATTGCTCAGTGGCCATATTCCTCTTGCTTTGAATTCTTGTTTGCCATACTGGCTTAAAAAACATAAATAAATCCCATTTTATGTAGCCTGGCTGTACAGAAGTTCAGCAATGGATTTTTCATTGTTTAAATTGATGATAAAGCCTTGACAGGATAGAGCTTCTCACTGGGTATGATATTTCACAGAAAAGCTTGTCTTAAAAAATCAGAAGAAATGAAGTGGAAAATCTTAATTCTAAATGGGTCACAACTCCCCTTGGCTAGCAGCATTAATTACAGATCATCAGTGAGAGCTCTGGCAAAGTGCATTACAAAGCCAAGATGTAAAAATTGTTATTCAATCTTTTTGTGTAAACTTGCCTAATCCAAAATTAAAAATATGTAAATTCTTACTTTGAAAGAAATATGAAAAAAACTGTAGTCAGATAATACTGTGAGACACTCTTGAAATTATTTATGTAAATATATTGAATTTATCTTTCTATTGAATCACAGGTGAATCTGGATTAGGAAAATCTACATTAATAAACAGCCTGTTCCTGACAGATCTGTACCCAGAAAGGATAATCCCAGGAGCTGCTGGTAAATACATCTTTGCTCAATGGTTTTTGGAGTTGATTGCTTTTATCTGTGAGTTTTGGTAAAAGCCAGCAGTGATTTCCAGCTCCAGTAGTTTCTAATGCATTTCCTGACACTTGAGCTGTTTGATAAAACCATTTTCTTCTGCACCAGGTCTTTGTTATTTAGTCTTTGTATTTGTATTAACACCTAGAAATTTGATCCCTTCTTTTGCTTAAAAACAGTCTTTGTGTCACAGTAAGATAAACAATCAACTAAAACAATCAGAGAATTTATTTCGTTTTTAATCTGTTGCATTTGTAAACATATGAATTGTTTATGCCTGTTTGCAACTTATTTCATTTACTTTAGGTAGATGTTTAGTGAATGACTAAAATGAATGAAACTTCACTTCTTATTCTTCATTTTCTTGTCCTGTTTTTGTTGTTATCAAGGTATGAAATAATCCAGCAAAAGAGAACATTGTAATAAGATAAAAGATGCAATTTTTGCCTTTTTGCTACCTGTTGAATTGCTTTATATAGATCAACAGTTGTATCTTGTCTCTTGTAAAATAGAAATAGAGGGGAAATGATATGTATTTGTATTAACATGTAGAAATTTGTGTTAATGTTGTGAAATTTTATCATGTTCACTGATGCTACTTATTACTTCCAGCCTCAAGAAAAAAAATCCATTACATATAATTTTATATTGTTCTCCCCTTACTGATGGTTTGGTCTCAGAGCCTTTTGCCTTAATTTCTATGTTATTTTCAAGAAAATGATGGAATCTCATACTCAGTCCTCCAATAACGCTGAAGGAATTTTTGTACTGAGCCTTTTTGAATGCAGTGGATAGAATAATATTTTTGCTGTTTTCTCTGCCAGTTGATTTTTGGAGCTGATCTCAGGGTGCCCTGGTGTCAGGCTGGGCTGTGCAGATGCAGTTTTGTTGTTTTGCAGACAAGATTGAGCGCACAGTGCAGATTGAGGCCTCCACAGTGGAAATTGAGGAGAGGGGAGTGAAGCTGCGCCTGACGGTCGTGGATACCCCGGGCTATGGGGATGCCATCAACTGCAGGGACTGGTACGTGCACACACAGCATCCCTTCATCTACCTATGGAGAATAACATGGATTTCTTATCTCTTCTGAGGGGTAGGAGTGTGCTGTGTGCCTGTGAAATGCTCACTTTGAGGTGGGGTTTTTTATTTTGAGCAAGTTTGATTATGCCATCAACTGCAAGGACTGGTATGTGCACTCACAGCATCTCTTCATCTACCTATGGAGAATAACATGGATTTCTTATCTCTTCTGAGGGGTCAGAGTGTGCTGTGTGCCTGTGAAATGCTCAGTTTGAGGTGGGGTTTTTTATTTTGAAGAAGTTTGATTATGCCATCAACTGCCGGGACTGGTATGTGCACTCACAGCATCCCTTCATCCATCTGTGGACAATAACATGGATTTCTTGTCTCTTCTGAGGGGTGGGAGTGTGCTGTGTGTGCCTGTGAAATGCTCAATTTGAGGTGAGGTTTTTTGTTTTCTAATTTTGAGCAAGTTTGATTATGCCATCAACTGCCAGGACTGGTACATGCACACACAGCATCTCTTCATCTACCTATGGAGAATAACATGGATTTCTTATCTCTCCTGGAGGATGAGAGTGTGCTGTGTGCCTGTGAAATGCTCACTTTGAGGTGGGTTTTTTTATTTTGAGCAAGTTTGATTATGCCATCAACTGCCAGGACTGGTATGTGCACTCACAGCATCTCTTCATCCATCTGTGGACAATAACATGGATTTCTTATCTCTTCTGGAGGGTGGGAGTGTGTTGTGTGCCTGTGAAATGCTGTTTCAGGTGGGGTTTCTTGTTTTCTAATTTTGAGCAAGTTTGATTATGCCATCAACTGCCGGGACTGAAACGTGCACTCACAGCATCTCTTCATCTACCTATGGAGTATAACATGGATTTCTTATCTCTTCTGAGGGGTAGGAGTGTGCTGTGTGCCTGTGAAATGCTCAGTTTGAAGTGGGGTTTTTTGTTTTCTAATTTTGAGCAAGTTTGATTATGCCATCAACTGCCAGGACTGGTATGTGCACACAGAGCTTCCCTTCATCCATCTGTGGACAATAACATGGATTTCTTATCTCTTCTGGAGGGTGGGAGTGTGCTGTGTGCCTGTGAAATGCTCAGTTTCAGGTGAGGTTTTTTGTTTTCTAATTTTGAAGAAATTTGATTATGCCATCAACTGCAGGGACTGGTATGTGCACTCACAGCATCTCTTCATCTACCTATGGACAATAACATGGATTTCTTATCTCTCCTGGGGGGTGAGAGTGTGCTGTGTGCCTGTGAAATGCTCACTTTGAGGTGGGGTTTTTTATTTTGAGCAAGTTTGATTATGCCATCAACTGCAGGGACTGGTACGTGCACTCACAGCATCTCTTCATCTACCTATGGACAATAACATGGATTTCTTATCTCTCCTGGGGGGTGAGAGTGTGCTGTGAGCCTGTGAAATGCTCAATTTGAGGTGGGGTTTTTTGTTTTCTAATTTTGAGCAAGTTTGATTATGCCATCAACTGCAGGGACTGGTATGTGCACACAGAGCATCCCTTCATCCATCTGTGGACAATAACATGGATTTCTTATCTCTTCTGGGGGGTGGGAGTGTGCTGTGTGCCTGTGAAATGCTCACTTTGAGGTGGGTTTTTTTATTTTGAGCAAGTTTGATTATGCCATCAACTGCCAGGACTGGTACATGCACTCACAGCATCTCTTCATCTACCTATGGAGAATAACATGGATTTCTTATCTCTTCTGAGGGGTGGGAGTGTGCTGTGTGCCTGTGAAATGTTCAGTTTGAAGTGGGGTTTTTTGTTTTCTAATTTTGAAGAAGCTTAATCTTGGTGTTATGAATGAATTCCAGTACGTGTGAAGAGGCATCAATAACTTTGACACATCTTGGAATCAATTTTGTAATGCTTTTTATTTCTTTGTTAACTTCCATTTTGCTTGAAAGAGCTTTAAGTGAACAGTGACCTTGATTCTCAATAATGCTCTGAGAAAGTAAATCACCTACTCTTCAGTGCAAGCAAAAATCCACCCCTGGATCTTGTCCATGTTCACTTGAGCATTCTTCAGATTCTGTGCCTGATTTTTAAGTGCTTTTCATCAACTTAGATTTTCTTTGTTTGTTTGTTTAGGTTTTTCTTTCTTTTTACAAATTTACATTATAGTAAATGCTGAGAACTAATCTTGAGGTCAAATCAGTTTTCAGTGGTAATTCCTTTTCCCACATCTCGCAAACCCCTGAACCTCAAGGCAACCTCTGCCTTTCCCCATAATTTTGGAAATTAAATTGCCCAATGAAGTGAAATTCAGCTTCAAGCCCACATGTCCTGTCCTGTGAGCCCAAGGGCTACTGCATGAACAATCTCCTGTTTCATTTGCTCAAAAGCTTGTTGTTGTTCAGGACCCCACTTCAAATCATTCTTCTTCTGGGTCACATGAGGGAGAGGCCTTGCAATCTGATGTACTCTGCAATATGCACCTTACAAAATCCCACAGCCCCTGAGACAGCCTGAGCTTCATTCCTGCTGCTCACTGGGGACAGAGCTGCTCTTTTGTTCACCACATCCAGTGGAGTCTGACAATGCCTCTTTTGCCATTTTACTCCTAAAAACTGGATTTCCTGAGCAGGTCCCTTGACCTTACTTTGTTTTATGGCAAAACCAACCTTCAGGAAGATCTGGATTGTCTTCTCCCCTTGCTCAAAAACTTCCTCTGCCATGTTTCCCCACATGATGATGCCATCAATGTACTGCCAGTGTTCTGAAACCTTACACTTCAGGAGTAACATCAGCCCTTCTGTTCTGTCTGAGGACCTGCCCACTGGAAGCTGGAGCTGCATTTATGCTTGAAGAATTTCCTGTGGTGGTTGTACTTCCTGTCAACTCCTGCCCCCCTGCTGCTGAGGCAGTGGTGGCTTTTCCATCCCACTTCCTGATGTCTTTTGTGTGGCCATGTAGGTGAAACCACAGGTTACCACGTGGTGTACATCCTGTGTCCTGAGGATGGGGCTGTTTGCTCCCAGCAGCAGGGACTGACCCATACTGGTGGAGTATGGAACATTTCCTCTCTAGTTTGTTAGAGTTTTTCAGATCTGTTCTTAATCTTGGACAGTCTTTGCACAGCTGAGGTGCAGGTTGGTAGGAAGGAAAAAAGTAATATTCATGTTGCCAGAGCTGGGTCACCTGAAGCACTGTTTGCTCTCCTTCTTGCATTGACAACAATGCCAAGGAGTTGACATACAACACGTACAACTTCTGTCTGTACAAACTTCTGCCACGTGGGTTGTGTACAGAGGACCTCAGAGGATCTGCAGGGGACTGATGGTTATTTGGAACCCCAGAGATTGCCCCCAGCACAGCTAATTCTCTCAGGTACTGGATACCTTCCTCCATGGCCTTCCACCTGCCTGGTCACACCATTAGATCATCCTTGAGGGAATACCTTTCCCTCACACTTGACAGAAGTCACCACCAGAGCTGAGAGTTTCTGGCCTCATCCCAATCCCCTTGTCAATGCCAGGACAGGGATCCCAGCTCCTTGGCTTCCCTATGATCTCCTTCCACATGGTGGGCCACCATGTCCTGGTCCCAGAACAGCCAGGATGCCAGGGTGTCCCCAAACAGCAGCTGAAATCTTTTCATCAAGGATAGCAATTGGGTGATCATCTCTGGCCCTGCCTCTTCTTCTGCTTCCTCTTCATCCCTCACTAAGCAAACTGATTTGGTTTTGGATTTCCTCTCTGTAGGGGCAGCTGTTTGTGGCAGTGGTTCAGCTGCAGTTGGAATGGCCATGGTTCCTGTTGCTCTGCTTTCCTTCTCTTTGCCTGAGGCTGCTCTCTAGTGATGAGCAGTGTCCAGTAAATAAAATCCAGGGCTCAGCACACTGCAATAAGTTGTTCCTCTCTGGAGTTGTCCCCTCCTGTAGATCTGGGCCAGAATCAGGACATTAGTGGACAAAAGTTGGGTATGAGCAGGCAGTCCCTGAAAGCCATGAGTGTCCCAGGCTGAGGGAGGGAGTTCTGCCCCACTGCTGTGAGATCTGCATCCAGCTCTGGGCTCTGACACATGGCAGACATGGACCTGTTAAGGCAGATGCAGAGGAAAACCACAAAAATGATCCAGAACAGCAGTAAAGAGAGGCTGGGAGAGTTGGGGTTCCATCTGAGAAAAAGACCCAGGGAAACCTTACTGAGGCCTTGAAATATATCCAAGGGGCTCACAGGAAACATGGACAGAGATTTAACAGCAGGGCCTGCAGTAGCAGAGCAAGGGACAATGGTTTGAAACTGAAAATAGATTTAGGTTGGATGTAGCAGAGCCTTTTTTGCAGTGTGTAGTTAATGCTAATCAAGATATAAACACTAACCCAAGAGAAATTTGTTTTAGAACTAAGGCTGGGTTATGTATATATTATCTTTATATACATATGTGATATGCATAGTGGCTATGCTTATTTTTTTCTAGAATTCCAATAAAATTTTAAGATGTGCTCTTCTGTTTTCCCTGTTCTGTAGAATCAGTAAATGAATTTTTGCCCAACAGAAGACTGGTTCACCAGCAGGCTATCTTAGTGGTTTAATACTACCTTTGAAAGAGTCCTAAAATTGAGGGCCATTTGGTGATTCCTCAAATCTGTGTTTGTTTTCCAGCTTTAAGACCATAATCTCTTACATTGATGAGCAGTTTGAGCGATACCTGCACGATGAGAGTGGATTGAACAGAAGGCATATCATAGATAATCGAGTTCATTGCTGTTTCTACTTCATTTCACCATTTGGTCATGGGTAGGTGTTTCTCTGTCCTTTTTTTTACATTATTTTATTTTAGAGAGTTGGTTTGTGCCTGGTGACTTAAATTTTCAGAATCAGGTTGCCATTACTTAGGCAGCTGCTGTAACTGCTGACATTAATTGGCTGTGTTCTTTGTCTCTGTGTAAAGAGAGATATTTATGTTGGAATGAAAATAAATTGGTAATTTAGAGTAAAAAAATAAATAAAAAATTTCCATTTTTTAATTTTAGCCTTAAGCCTCTGGATGTTGAGTTTATGAAGGCCATACACAACAAAGTAAATATTGTACCAGTGATTGCAAAAGCTGATACACTTTCTCTGAAGGAGAGAGAGAGACTAAAGAAGAGGGTGAGTGTTTTTCTGGCTTGCAGAAATGTGTTGTGCTTTGGTTGTGGCAGTGTGGGCTTTCTCATTAACCTTGCTCTGTCCTAGCTGAGGAAAATAGAATCTCATGCACAGTGTAGCATCACTTAATATGTAGTTTGATATCCTGTAAAATATTTTGTTATGTATTTAAATGAGAAACTGTCCTTAGAATGCTGTTTGTAAAATGGTAATTGGCTACGTTTACAGTTAGATTGAGTGAATTTTGAAACTTTGGAAAAATATTTAAATACATTTGCTGATGGTAATTGCTCAGTTACCTGTTTAATCAATCCTAAAGCAGAGATAGTATCTGCGTTTATAATGTGCACATGGGTTTTTTCCCCAGTCAGAATTCTGATGGTTAAAAAATGGGATTTTTCAGAGATGTTTCTGATGGTGAGGCTGTTTTTCTTCCCTTATGTCACTCCTTCTAAGGCATTCCAGTTCTGTCTTCCAGAGGCAAGACCTCTTAACACATCCAGTCATGCTTGATGCTGTGTTTGCTGGGAGGAGGTGGGATTCAGCAAACCAGCATGAGCTAATAACAGCTAGGAAGTTCAGAAAGAAGTGTTAGAATTAACTCGTCAAAGGCATGCTCCAGTCTTAGCTCTTGCATTGAAAACTGTGGTTTTGTCAGTTATTCTGGAATAAAAATGAAGACTTTATATATAGTATACTCTAGTAGGTGTGTTTAGAGTGCTAGAATTCTGCAGAAGTAAAGATTATTCTTTTATAAAGAGCAAAATTTGGGGTCTGTGGTAGATGGATTCCTGGTGTGGGTACCATTACTGTCAATCATGAAGAAAAAAGTATTTGTAGTGTTTATAGCTCAGTTTTTCAAACACTCCCACCCCTACCCCCCAAGTAGTAATTCAGATTTAAGAGCAAGGAGGTTAAGCTGTAGAAAGCAAGTTTAATTTCTTTGTCAACACCTTTATTATTATAAAAAAAAAATTGCAAAGTTTTAACAAGGCAGAGCTTCCACAAAGGATGGTGGTTTTGTGAACACTGTTGTTTGTATGAAAGTCCATGGCAAGTAATTGTTGAATATTATGAAGAAATGTAGTATTTAAAACCAAATCCTTGCTGAGCAATTTGGATCAATAAGATAAATCCAGATTTCTTAAGAGCCTGTGTATTAAGTAATTTTATGTTAGGATTTAAAAGTACTGATTCTCCATGTACATTATATCAATTTCTTTTATTGCATATCTCAGATTCTGGATGAAATAGAAGAGCATGGCATCAAAATTTATCACCTGCCTGATGCTGAATCTGATGAGGATGAAGATTTTAAGGAGCAGACCAGACTCCTGAAGGTGTGACTGGTTTAATAGGTTATATACATGGATAATATATTGTAATTTTTTCAGACATGTCAGATGGCTTTAGGACAGGAGCTGCAATGCAACCTGGAGTTAGTCACCCAGAAATGAGACACCTGAAGTGTCTCTGCCCAGGCTTCCCTAGCTTGGAGGATGGTGGCAGCAGTTCCTTTTATTTATTTTACACCTTTAATTTCAAATAATTATGAACTTATTACCATAATATGCAGTGCTGAGCAGAACAAGAGTTGTTCTTGGAGTTGTTTGTCCTGGTTTATTGTAAGTAACTTTTTCACTTTTGGCTTTCAGGCCAGCATTCCATTTTGTGTAGTGGGGTCCAATCAACTCATTGAAGCAAAAGGCAAAAAAGTCAGAGGTCGCCTCTACCCATGGGGTGTAGTTGAAGTGGAGAATCCAGAGCATAATGACTTCCTGAAGCTGAGGACCATGTTAATGTAAGTTACAACATTCCAGTTGTAACAGTTACATGGGAATTTAGGAAACAAATTCCAGTTACATGGGAATTTAGGAAACAATCACCAAGATAATCAAGCACTGCACTGGGGGTTTGCAGCAGTTGGGTAATCCCTGGACACGTTCAGAATTTGTGTGGAGAAGGCCATGAGCAGCCTTGAGCTAGGCCTAGTCAGAGGTTGGACCACACAGGACCCACAGGTCCTCTCTGATTTAATTACTCAGTGATTCTGTGAAAACAGTGATTTGTGTGCTTCTTTTATCCAATGCAGTGTTGTATTGCTGCTCAAATCCCCTGAACATAAAACAAGTTGTGCTGATTTCAATATATCTATAAGTAGATACATTTGCAAGGGAGCAGACCTGAAAAGCCCCCTGGTTGTTTTTTTTCCTGGTCTATGCTACTCTGTTTTGCTTGCTCAGATTCATCAAAGGCCTCACCCAGGAGTGCAGCTCTGTCAGGGCACTCTCAGGGCTGAGGTGACCTCTCTGTGTCCTTTATTGCACCAATTGAACTGAAATTAGATTTAAATCAGTATGCTAAGTGGGTGTGCATGCTGAGCACATTGATCCAAGCCAGTGCTGATGCCAGAGTTGCTTAAGCAAAGTGATGTGACACAATTTATCTGTTAATGACTCTGCTTCCTCCAGCACCCACATGCAGGACCTTCAGGAGGTGACCCAGGATCTCCACTATGAGAATTTCCGCTCTGAGAGGCTCAAACGAGGCACCAGGTTGGCATCTCATGGTTGCATGCTGCTTTCTGCTCTTCTGAATTTCTCTTTTGCTCTCTCTGTGTCTCACCTACCATTGCATTGTTAGCATTTGGTAGACCAAAGGCAGCTTTGTAACTCCAGTCAACATCAAGTTCTGTTGAGCAGCTTACAAAGAGTGTAACAAAAAAATATTTGCTAAATCTGAAGTGATGGTGGTGGAGTTAGGAAATTGTGGGAATGGATCTGTGCTTTGGTCTGAGGCTTAAACATAGTTGGGTTGGAGTGTTGAAGGTCCTAAGTAGGACAGATGTCTATGATAAATGTCTTTAAAAAATCTGCAAATTAGATCAGAGCTGATATCTTAAAAAGAGTGTGTGGAGGTTTTTTTCAGAATTAACAACAAGAATATTTGGATGGTGGCTTTAAAAAGAGATGATCAAATTTTTTTGCAATTCTTTATTACACATGACATACATTAATAGTAGCTATCACACTGTTAGCCTTGTTTTGAGCTGGCTTGGATAGGACACAGCTTTCCTGGAAAGAGAACTGGCAAAACACCCAATTTTTAAACACAATAGCAGGGTCTGTAAAGATGAGCTGGGGAGTTCTTGAGGGAAACTGCAGGATTCCTGGTTTAGGTGTTTCAGCTGCATCTCTTCTCACAGCCACTAGAGGGTTCCAAATTGCACGTTTTGGGGTTTTTGGGGCATTTTGCAAAAGTTTCCACATCGAGCTGTTAACAGACATTTTGTAACATGTCTGGTCAGTTTTCAGCAAAAAGAGTTTTCCTTTTAGAGTTTTCTGCCTACAGGCAAGATAAAATCCTCTTCTCTCCTGATTTGAAATCCTGCTTTCTGAAATTCAAGGTAAAACCCCCAAACTTCCCAAGTTCTGGCACCTCTTATCCCACAGGTGTGTACAAAGGCCTTAGAGGTAATGTGACCTAAGGTCATCCAATTTTAAAGGATTTCAAGTTGCTGTTAAGTTGGGTATGTGAAACTGAAACATCTTTTTGTATATTTTCTAGTTAAGTGGCCCATTTCCTTTCACATTTCTGAAATGGTACTAGAATGTAGTTAGGTTTACTGTAAGTGAGGGTAAATTGCATGTGAATTTATTTCAAGCTTGCACTTCTGCTACCAGGAGTGCTTACAATAGGTGTTTCTCTGTACTCACTAATGATCTCTGAGGTTTTGGGGCACAGCAGATTTTTTACAATGTATTTCTTCACTTAGGATTTATTTACAATTATTTATTTCTTTTTATTTACACAGGATTTTTTTTTACAATGTACTTCTCTGTTAACTTTTTAACAAACACCAATTTGTTTGTTTTACATGTTTGATGGCACTTGCTTGATTAGCTCCATGAGTACATCCTCCCTGTTGTGACATGGAGAAGGAGAAAGCCATTAGCAAAGTGGTAGGAAATCTTGAGTAAAGCCAGGTATGAGGGAGACAGTCACTTCTCCTAGGTAACAAGTGGTGCAATAACAGGAAACAGCCTCAGGTTGCACCAGGGAGGTTTAGATTGATATTAGGAGAAATTTCTTCACAGAAAGGGTGTTTGGGCAGTGGTGGTGCTGCCATCCCTGGAAGTGTTCAAACTGCTTGTGGATGTGGCACTGGGGTCTTGAGTTTGTAAGGTCTCCAGGATGAGGTGAGAGATGAGGAATCTGACTCCATGTTCTCAGAAAGCTGATTTCCATTCCATTCCATTCCATTCCATTCCATTCCATTCCATTCCATTCCATTCCATTCCATTCCATTCCATTCCATTCCATTCCAT